CTCCTGGCCATACTACTAGGAGCAAGGACGCTACTAGGGGCTCCTGGCATCACTACTAGGAGCAAGGACGCTACTAGGGGCTCCTGGCATCACTACTAGGAGCAAGGACGCTACTAGGGGCTCCTGGCATCACTACACTATCCTGGCCATACTACTAGGAGCAAGGACGCCACTACTAGGGGCTCCTGGCGGCATCACTACTAGGCTCCTGGCCTTACTACTAGGAGCAAGGACGCTACTAGGGGCTCCTGGCCTTACTACTAGGAGCACGGACGCCACTAGGGGCTCCTGGCCATACTACTAGGAGCAAGGACGCCACTAGGGGCTCCTGGCCTTACTACTAGGAGCAAGGACGCTACTAGGGGTTCCTGGCCTTACCACTAGGAGCAAGGACGCTACTAGGGGTTCCTGGCCTTACTACTAGGAGCAGGACGCTACTAGGGGCTCCTGGCCTTACTACTAGGAGCAAGGACGCTACTAGGGGCTCCTGGCATCACTACTAGGAACAAGGACGCAGAAAAGAAACAAGGGAAAGAAAAGGAAGAAAGGTCTACTAGCAGCTTCATGCTGGATACTCGTAGCAATGGCCTCCAAGCTACTAGCGATGGCCTCCACCTAGTAGCTTCTTGTTACTAGTAAGAAGGTTTACCACAGCAATAGATACTCGTAGTTCGGTGTGCTTGTAACAACCATTATTTTGGCAAGAACTCAACCTCCAGTTTGGGGTACCATGGTGCCCGAAGCCAGAGTGCAACATGGAGGTGGACACTGGCCCCCGGGAAAGACAATTTTCCAAATACCAAACAGGGGGTTGTCCACTTCCATGTTTGTTTCAGGGAGGGTAGCTTTTATCTGGATGTACAATGTCTGAAGTGGCTGCTCACGCTGCAACAAGACCCAAATTGCGAACATGGATGAATTGACGAAGGCCGGACGAATGGGATCCACTCGCCAGATCTGAGGTGATGCACCTGCCAATGCCTCCAAAGGTTCTTGAGGATGGGACAACCCGGGTTGTCTTAAAGAATGAAATCAGTGGACCGAAGAACAGGAACGAACCTGGGGGTTGGCATTCTTTATAAGTGGGTCGGTGGACCCTGATTCTTTAGAGATGAGTCACCAAGACTGTCATCGGAGCGTGGCTAAGATCTTTGCATTGGATCAACATCTTTCAAAAGACTTGGGCAAGACGCATCAAAAATTGGAAATTCGACTCGAACCCGGGTGCACTGTTTCTTTAGAGTTTTAGTATTTTTGAAGGTCAGTGTTTAGGCGCTCTTGTTCAAGTGTTTTTAACTTTTTTGTTACCCCTGTTAGCCCTGTTTACCCTGAACCCTGGTTTCCAAAAAAATGAAACCGCCCGGGTTCGCAGGCGAATTCGAAGGGGGATCTTTCGGAAGAGAAATGCCGAAATGCCGAAGAAAATTAAGCGACTTGTCATTGATTCATACTTGTCTCTGAGCAGTGCAGAACAGCATGTCTTGGAGCAAGTCCTTTTCTACAAGTCCCTTCAGCATGACCTGTTTGGGGGGAAACACATAACGCTCATGGCATCCACTGCGTCCATTGAGCGCTCCGGACGGGCATTTCGTGGATGCCAGGCCTGTTGCCAAGCCTTGCTGCGACTGCTGAGACTACGGCAAGCGGGACATCCAGTGCTAATCTTCGAAGAGCTCTTCAACAACAGGCGAAGCAAACCACGGAGAAAGAAAACGCTGGATATTTGGTATTTGGGTCGTCACAGCATGTCACGTTTTGGAGACCAGCCTTGGGATTCTTTCCTCAATGTGAAGAAGAATGAAAAAGGAGGAACACATAGCGATCGATCTCCCCAACAAGCTACACATTGGGCTCCCCGATTTTCCCAAATGACCTACCCTCTCCACGGTCTTCGACGTTCCTGAATGTGTGTATGCCCTAGCCTTCAAAGACCATTAAAAGAACGGTTGAGCTGGTGGTGTAGTGTAAAAATCCTTAGTAAAACAATGGTTCTTTGGTAAAGACCATTAAAACACTGGTTATTTGAATCCTAGGGTATGGGGTTCATAACCTATGTCGCTATGCCTCTTCCCATCTCTTCTCCATTCTTCTCCCTGCCTGCAGGCCCCTGTTTCTTTGCAAGCGCTCGGAGGGCATCAATCCCGGCGATGAGTTTCAGGCCAGGTGATGGGACAGCATGCGGAGGTTCTCTCAGCTCGGCAAGTCAGAAGCGACCGTTTCCCGTTGAAGAACTCTTTCTGTTGTCCCGTTGAAGTCTGGATCTTCGGACTTTGAAGGTGTTTAGACTTCAACTTGCTCTTCAGTGTGTTATGTGATGTTCGGACTGCACGAATCGATCTCGGTCCACTTTTCGGACTTTGGGGTCTCGCAAAAACGTGGAGATCGCGTGAGCGGAGATGGGCACAAGGAAGTGGCCAAGAAATCGTTGTGGTTTAGGGAGCAGCTACCTAGCATCATCCAGACTTCAGATGTTTTCAAGATGATGATCCCGCCATTCGAGGTGGCTTATAACCATTTGGACCAAGCTGAGCTGAAAGAAGATGTTTGGGATGTGCTCCCGGAGATTCAGGAGAAATTTGGGTGGGTCGTTGGGGGGCGGCTCGGTGACACATTGGGCACCGAGGGATGTCTGTTACCAACACTTTCCCTACCTCTTTGCGAACTGAACTGGAGGACTCGTCACTCTGAAACTGGTGCAAAAAACGGTGTGGTGTGGGTGTGGATGAAAACAGCAAAAAGAGATAGAACATGTATTTTAAGTTACATCCTTTGCCTGGAAGCTTTGCGTGCGTGTTCCATGTCAAAAAGAGGAGATATCACGTCCCAGACCTTAGGCCTCAAAGAAAGGTCAGGTCTCAAGACAGTCGTTTCAGCCAAAAGAGACAAGGAAAACAAACTATATATGTAAGAACAGAAAACAAAGGAAGAACACACCAAAACTGAAAACATGTTTTACTTCTCAATTAAAGTCGTTTCAGTTCAAGGCTTCAGGCAAGCCGACAAACGGAGTGTGTGAATACGGGACTCCAGGACGTGCCGACCGCCAAGGTGGCGGTGAAGCAAGCGCTGGCGCAACTGGGGGAGGCGAAGAAAGATTGGAGAATTCATAGGAGAACAGCAACGGCCTCGTTATTTGGGACTCCTGGCCTTACTACTAGGAACAAGAAGCTACTAGGGCCTCCTGGCCTTACTACTAGGAACAAGAAGCTACTAGGGGCTCCTGGCCTTACTACTAGGAACAAGAAGCTACTAGGGGCTCCTGGCCTTACTACTAGGAACAAGAAGCTACTAGGGGCTCCTGGCCTTACTACTAGGAACAAGAAGCTACTAGGGGCTCCTGGCCTTACTACTA